TTCTCTACATTATGTTATGAACCATTTATTATTGCCCAATTTTTGGGTAAAATATTAAAAAACGGGGTCATTCGGGTAAACAGACATCAAACATGTGAAGCCTTAAAATAGCATGCGCCTGCGGAATCGCCAAAAACTACTGTACATAAAATTGCGCATGGGCGACGATTTAAAAGCGTTCATCAGTTTAGTGTTAAGTGATTGATGGCGCTAGAATTGTTGCTCACACTCCGATGTTCATGGTGATACGTTACAGGTGCAACACAATCGCCATTTCTGTGCGTAGGCGCACCAGACACGTGTTTGTGTTTGTATGTGCAAATGCTGACCTCTCCTCCCTCCTCTGTACAGGCAGCTGCTATGCCGGTCCCAGGGGGAACAGTGGAGCCCGGGATAACCAGCGGAGGGGGACCGTGGCAATGGAGGGGGGCTTACACTACATGCAGTCATACAAGTGATCGGCCGGCTGTAGAGCCGGTCGAACGCTTGTATGTAACAGCCGGTACCGGCTGTTTAGATTCCCAGCCAGAATATTGCTCACGCAGGAAAAAAATCACGTAAATGTACGTCCAGCTGCTAGGAAGCATGCGCTGTCTGCACGTATTTTTTATTATGGGCGGACGGCAACTGGTTAAAGAAGAAGTCCTGGAATTTATAAAACTTACCCTTGCAGTGCACTACCCATGGCCGGTGCAGAGGGAGAGAGAGGGCAGTGCTGACCACCATGGGATCGAGGATCAGGTGAGTATATCTGCTTTATTTCAGCCTCTTGACAACGCTTGCAATACAGGGGAAGCCCCACTGCAAGGGTAAGTTTGCGATTTTCCTGCAGCGCTGAATACTGAAAAATGGCCTGGATGGGAAGGGGGTTTAACACCGCGGATGTCAACTGGTTAAAGGAGAACTATGGGGTTAGGGCTTTTCCCCATAGTTCTCCTATGGGTCACGGTAGGACATAAACTAGCCTCCTCCCGTGACCCAAAGCTCAGTATATCGCAAGCTACAGCTCGCGGTATACTGAGAACGCCGCAGCCGGGACCGATTCTGACATTACTGTCGAGATCCACCCAGCTGCGTGATTGACAGCTGGCTCTGCCTATCTAGAGGCAGAGCCAGCTGTACCCTCCCCCGTCCGTTGCGCCAGTCAGCGCTGGAGGATCGGACAGGGGATCCTTGCAGGGAGCGGTGAGTGACAGTCACGGCTCTCTGGAGGGACATGATCGAGAAGTGAGCGAGCGACGGTATGTGTTCGCTCACTTCCCGATCTATTGAGCCGACCTGTGACAGTCTCATTGTCACAGGTCGGCTAGAACTATGAGGTGAGTGAAAATCACTCACCTCATAGTTCTCCCTTAAACATCAAGGCCCAGCATCCATTGCAAGTGATTTCATCGGCTTTTAAATAGCGTAAAAACATTGTTTCTGTTATCACTTTAAGATTTCAGAGTAATTAATAACCTTCAATCAAACATTTAAGCTACAATGAGGACAGTCGGCTCAGGCAGAGACGCCATTGTGTGGTCTTGGCTTAGAACTCGTCGACGCTTATTTCCCGATACATTAAAGAACACTCTGTGAGGCCTGAAGCCGCAGGCAACAAACAACATATGTCCTAATCTACAAGCATTACCGGTTTTCTGAAATTTCCTTCACATATCAGTCGGATTTCTTTCAGCTCGGAAATAAAAATTAATTACCCGCTCTAATCTCTATATTCTCTATCACCATGGAGACGCATTAGAATTCCTTTACGTGGCGCTGATGTTCTAAACTTATAACTAACTTGGAAAACAAACTCCTTTTTAGTGTTACTGTAGAGACCAAGCCTGAAATTACACGGATTGAAAAAAAAAATAAAAAAAGCTCGCAATGCTTTACATGTAAAATTGATATTACAAGACAAAGCTTCCTGCTGTCACCCGGGACCAACACGTTTTGTTAGATAATTGCCGAGCAGAATGACTCCTGAGATAAATTAGAAAAAACGATATAAAAAGGACTTGAATAATTTAATTCATAAATACAATAAAAAGCAGATGCATTTAAATCTTAAAGGGAAAGTAGAGAGGATTTACTGTGAGATCATATTCTGAAATTACTAAATATTATAGTAGAATTAGCAGCTGTCAGCATTGTTGCTGCTGATTGACAAGCCTGCTGCTCGTCAATCGGCAGTGGGGCACACCTAGCTCCTCCCACTGTTTTCTGGATTGGCCGGGCCGCCTCTGTTGCTGAAACCCCTCCCACTGTGAGCTGCCGTGCCGGTGTTCTATCAAAGTTTGTGACTGTGTTGGAATGTGTGACCGGTGACGCGGTCAGAGATTCCAACGTAATCCCGCTCGGTTTGACAGCAGTGGAATGTGTGACCACCCATTAGGTGAAGCATTCCAACGCTTTGTCGGCTGTTCCAGAGGAGATCGGCTCACTGCACATGTGCACATGCGAGCACCGCAGATATATTTGTAATATATATTTCTATATATTTGCGTAGCTGGCTGATTGTAACACTCCTGCAGTTACTGTTTGTGAATCACCCCCCTCTGCGGAACTCACAAAGTCCAATAGAAGTGACATTTGAGACTGATCAGCTGTTCCAGGGCAGATGATCGGTTCTCCTGCACATGCGCAGTGAGCTGATCTGCCCTGGAACAGTCGACAAAGCGTTGGAATACTTCACCTAATGGGCGGTCACACATTCCACTGCCGAGAAACTGGGCGGTCACACATTCCAACCTAGTCACAAACTTTGCTAGAACACCGGGGAGGGGGAGCGTGTGAGTCACAAAGGAAGAAGGATTTGCCTCAGTCAGGGAAGGTAAAGGAAGTTTTTATTTTAATTTAAAAGGCTGGTGTATCACTTAGTCCCCAATAGAGGGAATGCGTGCCGTGTCTACGAGAGTTCGTGCCCACGTTTACTTATTGATTTCAATGGGTTCTGCACGTGAGACAAAGGCGGGAAAGTAGCTCATGTAGCAGATACTGCTCCACGCATCCTGCGTTTTCCCCCCGTGCATTTTAATGCGTGTTTTCCCAGGCGCGTTTGGGGTACCATTATTTATGTAATGGCACTGCAATTGCTTGCACGTTTTTGATGCGTTCCATTAACACACGTCAAAGCGCAATTTTTTTTCTGCATTTGGACCTTGTACACAGAACCCCTAGGTGTGAACAGGGACCTAAAACAGAACTACATCCTTGTATCCCTTTCAGTCAAGGAAAGGATAGCGGTCTAAGGTTCTATGATGTATTTCAGAATCCTGCTGCACTCCTTACCAGTTATCCCTGTCAGCGTGGGTGCCGGAAGTGACCGCGGATGGCGCAGTACACTAAATTAAAGTGAAGAACACATCTGTGACATTTCAAGCCTGATGAAGGGGACCATGTGTGGCCCCAAAATGTCATTTGTTTTGACATGAAGCGTCAATCAACAGACATGTTCTTCACTTCAATATGGTGTGCTGGTGACGTCTTTAACAAGCTAAGGTTCTATGAGCCATCATGTCCTATACAGTGTATCATACGTCATCAGACATTCCATTACGTCACTGGACGGAAGAGGAGACAGGCGGCAGAGACCAGAGAAGCAACCAGCCAGCTCTTTGGTTCAGGTAAGTATAACTTTTTTTTATTTTTGTCCCTAGATGAAAACGAACACTTGACCCTTGCAGTGCAGGGGATGCCCTACTGCAAGGGTTAAGTATAATTCTGCCCAGAGTATGCCCAGAACAATGTAACATTAATATTGTTTATTGGAAGCAATGCATGATAGGATATGTAGTCTTAAGAAATGGAGATTGCGTCACATGAAGCATATGGGAAAGAGACGCAAAGCACACTGGGGATCCAGGAAGTTGTTGGAAGTGATGGGCAGATGGAAGGCAGCGCTCACTACATAAAAGGGAATTTTTTACTTAAAGGAGAACTATAAGGTGAGTGCTTTTCACTCACCTCATAGTTCTAGCCGACCTGTGACAATGAGACTGTCACAGGTCGGCTCAGTAGATCGGGAGGTGAGCGAACACATACCGGCGTTCGCTCACCTCTCGATCCTGTCACGGCTCTCTGCTGTGACAGGGGAGGGGCTGGATTCCCCCCTCCCCGCTTCGATCCGCCAGCGCTGACTGGCAGAACGGACGGGGGAGGGTACAGCTGGCTCTGCCTCTAGATAGGCAAAGCCAGCTGTCACTCACGCAGCTGGGCGGATCTCGACATCGATGTCGGGATCCGCTCCGGCGTCTCAGTATACTGCGAGCTGCAGCTTAGGGTAACGGGAGGACGCTGGTTTGTGTCCTCCCGTTACCCTAAGGAGAACTATGGGGAAAAGCTCTGACCCCATAGTTCTCCTTTAAGTTTTGATTGCATTATCAGAAACAACTCCAGCATGTATTCCTATTACAATGCTGATGATATAACAGGAGGAGGATATGCTGGGACTTTACATCTCCTTTAAGTGTTACGTATTAGGAATGCATAGTTGCCACCTCAGTTCATTTTACATACTATGTAATAGGTGCTGCTGGCCTGACATCTGTCCCCTAATCGGACTCAGAAAACAATATGTGGAGCTGGAGGTATCAAATACCTGGAAGTGTTACACCTGCACATTACTTAGCATGAATTCAGTTAACATAAAAGGAATCTGATGAAAAATATCTGATCCTCGGCCCAGTTCAAAGCTTGGAAACACCATACAAAAAAAAGGGGCATACAAACGGTTGCATTTTCCTATAAAGAAAGATTTAGGTTATGTTACCAACTCAGAAACCATTAACGAATAGTCAAGTTCTCAAAACCCGACACAGCCTTTTCTTCTGAACTTTCTCCTCTGCAAACCTCACCACTCTGCTATCTCTTAATTATACATCAGAGTCCTTACATGAACGGCCTGATGCCTATTGACTGCATACAAGAAATATAATTAAGCGGCATAGTGGTGCAGGGAAAGAATTAATTAAAAAACTCATTGATCAAGTATAATGGAATTGGTGAAGACTGGATACCTCGTCTGTATTGTAAATGATCTGCAGTCCGGAGGATATCATTTCCACCAAATACAGCAAGAAGAGAGACACCGCATTTATCTGGAAGTAAAGAGAGAGAGAGAGAGAGAAAAAAACATTAAAAAAGGTAATCGTTAATTAATTTCCATGTTTTATCTGCTGACCTTTATGCAACACCACATATGGCAGATTAGCTGGCCCCTGCTGCTAGCCTGACATTGTTTTTGAATTCTGTCTTCCTAAATAGTGCAATTACAAAATGTTACTGCTTAAAGAGAAGATGTTTGCCACATTTTAATGGGCAGGAACAATAAGCAATTGTATACCAGCCTCACTGTCCTGTAGAACAACATCGAAACTCTGAAGGGTCTGCAGTGCAAATGCAATCAGCTTTGGTTGTCACTGAATATGGCTCACCTACTACTGGCCCATCATTCTGATGAGTGGTGTCACTAACAAATAGTTCTGTGAAAGTGGTAGGTGGCGGTAGGCCTCAGGCAGCGACCACTGATGTTGGCTCTGTATGTACTACAGGAGCATCCAGGGTGCACTCTACCGGGCATAACAGCTGTCAAGCAGGATCATGGAGGTGCTTACTATTTTATGGCTTGTTCACACCTACAGTGCATTGCCATGCAAGAGCTTCTTTGCATTCCCATTCATTTGAATGGCACCCCAAATGCACCTCCCACCTGCAATGCGCTCAACCACACTGCAACGCTCAATATCGCAATACTGTGCGTTGCAGGGTGGTTGGAAATACAGTGCATGCAGGATTTTTTTTAAGCGCACCACATTGCACGGTATTTGGGTACCAAGCATTGTGTACACGGTCGATCTTATTGCAGACAGGAAGTGTGTTTTAAGGGGGCCATTCAAATATATGGCAGCGCAAAGCACCTCCCGCATTATTAATAAACAAACCTGGTGTGAACAGACCCTTAGGCAACTGGTTGGGGCCATCCAAACATTCACTACAAACCAAAATTTTCACCGACTCTAAACATGGCCGTAGGGCAGTGCATGCAGGTTACAATAACGACCTTCCAACCAAAAAAAAAGTATTACAAAAATAGACCTGCAATGGCGGGTAATAATTAAAATGTTTCCTGTTATAGGAGATGTGTGGAAGCAGTGGTCTCTCTTCAGAGACCCAATATGCCCCCCAGCTGAGTCACAGCTTGAGCTCAACAATCAGAAGAGACCATGAGCTTTTGCTGATTACAGAGCTGTAAGTCTGACTCAGCAGAGGTGGGGTTTCTACTTGTATGGCCACCTCCTATCACCAGCATGAATCAGTTCTGCCAGAGGAAGAAGAAGCTTTTAGAAGGAGCCTCCAATCACTTGTCAATGGGGTCCTTAAACACTGATGCATCTTCTACAGGGATGGTTAAGGCTTTGTTAAGATGGGATACGGCCAGATCCAAAGTGGGTGATGCCCATCTCAAAAAGGGGGCCATTTGAGAGGAGTGGACAGCTTGTCAGGGCAATTCCATTCTCCATAGATGACGACTGCAAAGAGCGAGTGTACTGCAGGGGTCCTGGCGACCCTAAAGGAGCCTACACTGGAGACGGCATGGGTGGAAAAGCCATTCCAATTAAAGCATTACGCCGGTTTTACTGTCTAAGGTGCCCCAAGGCCTTTTGAAAAGAAGGAAATGGTGTCTCTTACAGGAAGCTGAGAGTCTCACAAAGCCAACCATTAACTTTTGCTCAGAAACACAAAATAGACCTCCGGGTAATTATTTCGAATCGCTTAAAGCAAACAGCTTCACATTTATCTACGCGACAGTATTATTGGCAAGAAAAGTACAAGAACAATTTGAATAATGGCTTAAACAATAGGCTGGGTATCTGGGGACACAGCAGTCTGTCCTCAACCATGACAATAGATGGGCTACCTGCAGTGGGACGTACAGAAACGCAGAGCTCTATGTAAAAACCTGATAAATCTGCTTTTATGTGCTCTTAACACATTTACGTGGGCTGGTTAACGAGTTGGCTCCTATTGTTGGCAAACAACACTTAATGTGTGAATGGTTACAGTGCAGACATTAATTGTAACGTGCTCAAGTAATGGGTGGTGCGAGTACACAAAGAAAGGATGGAAGAATTTATACCGAAGCATTTCAAAGACACAATACATGTGTCATTCAGCATTGCTCATTTTGTTCCTAAGAGTCCTAAAAATACAATCTGAAGTCGGAGCTTTTCTTAGGGCCCATTCACACCTATCTGGTAGCTTGCATTGCGTTGACACACACCACATCAAGGCAGCCCATTCAATTGTATGGGCTGCCAACTTAGATAACAGACTGGAAAGTGGTACCATTATTTTACAACAATGCATTATCGTGGTTGCCATTCAAAAATCACATGTATGGCATGTGACTGCAACAAAGAAGTGTGAATGGGCCCCATTGTGAATGCCTTCATTTTAAACTATCAAAATCAAAAACTATTTACCAAAAGCAGACATCACAAGATGCCTACTGTTACCTTTATTAGTCCGAAAAAACTTTCCTGTGCACCTCACTGATTTAGGGGCTCATTTATAGAGAACAGATAGCCATAGATATAGTCCCGTAAAGATAATCTCACCCCGGCCTGTATCTTATGGCCCATTCATAAAATAAGGGCCACAGTATGCAACCTACAAAGCCCCACAGAGTTCTCTCTACTTAACATCACATGGGATGGAATGGGATCACCTCCCCGGCCTTTTTCTCATTTGCAAAACCAGCAGAGCTCTAAGGACATTTATAAATGCCAAAACTGTGTTTTATAACATGTGCAGAGCTTTTTAAAAAACAATGGTAACCCATGGAATGGCCTTACCGCTGATTTATGAATGAGCTCCTTTGTTTCAGTTTCTTACTGGGTCATGCCTTTCTCTAAAGGGGTGGGCAACTCTGGCCCCTAAAATCCCACTACAACTACTACAAAACCCAACATGCCTCTGGGAGTCATGCCTGTAACTGCCAGTCTTGCAAAGCCTTATAGTTCCACCATATCTGGAGAGCAAGAATTGCCCACCCCTGCCCTAAATTAACTGTACTAGGATAAGCATCCACCGCTTAGGCTTCCTGAGTGGCCGGGAAGCCGGCTCCATGCTGTTTGGCCGTCTCAATGCTGATTGGCTGGGAAGCTGGCTTTGAAATTGGCTGTTAAAGTCCGTTGAGGGGCAATAGAATTGTAGATGATCTTGTACAAATGGGTCATACTCCCACCTACAGGAGTATAATGTTAATAACATGGGGGCAGAATCTCAATGTCCCTGAATGAAGATCAAAAACAAGATTTTACAGTAAGTGTGAAAATCTTATTTTTCATCCATCGAGTGACCTGGGAATTGTAGATAATCTAATACAACGGGTTTCACTGCCAACCACGGGAGATAGGGACACTGGAAAACAAATAACCAGACCCTGTATAATCCCTACCCTCCAACCGTCACGCCTCAGTTTTTTGCTAGTGTCCTATAAGGGTTGGACGCTCTTTCCTCGGCTCTGTTTAGAAAAACTTTAACTATACTTCTTCCTTTTTTTTTTGGAACTATTATGTAGTCCCAATCATTTCTTTGATTGAGATCCATAGTTTTTAAAGGAGAACTATGAGGTGAGTGCGTTTCACTCACCTCATAGTTCTACCCGACCTGTGACAATGAGACGCTCAGTAGATCGGGAGGTGAGCGAACACATACCGGCGTTTGCTCACCTCTCGATCCTGTCACGGCTCTCTGCCGTGACAGGGGAGGAGCTGGATTCCCCGCTCCGATCCACCAGCGCTGACTGGCGGAACGGACGGGGAGGGGGCGGGTACAGCTGGCTCTGCCTCTAGATAGGCAGAGCCAGCTGTCAGTCACGCAGCTGGGCGGATCCCGGCATAATTGTCGGGATCCGTTTCAGCTGCGGCGCCTCAGTATACTGCAAGCTACAGCTCGCGGTATACTGAGTTTAGGGTGACGGGAGGACGCTAGTTTGTGTCCTCCCATTACCCTAAGGAGAACTATGGGGAAAAGCCTTAACCCCATAGTTCTCCTTTAAGTACAGTATTCCCCAAGATGTGCATTTCTGTCCTGATTCCGGTCCTGAACGGTTCTCTCTCCTTTTTATCAGTTCTTCTTCATCTAGCCTTCTATTTTAGGCGTTGACTTCTTATACTATGCATAGCA